GAAATGATTCGCGTCTATAGTAATGTTTAGCACTTACTTAACATTAATCCCCAAACTACTTACTTTTTACATGCCTGATACCCCACTCTGATTAACATCTAGACACTGAGTTATTCAGTTATTAGAACAGTAAACACAGATAACTGATTTGACAACTGTTGAACCGATAATACTGCGCATGCGTGATTCAGTGAACCAAAAATGACAGCCTGTTGAAATCTGAACTAAAATTGAACAACTGCAGCGTGGGTAAACCGAGGGCTTAAATGAGAGGATCTGGCGAAACCTAAGTTTATAACTGAAAGTCGTAATGGAATTTAAATAAGTGAATCATGCTTCAGTTGTGCTACAAAAACTTAATTGTAAGAAACTTTTTACATCTGAGCTGAGTATATTTCTGAGCTAATTAACATACACCCACCTGTGAGATCTCTTCGCTCTAAGGATTGTCTCTATTTGACAGTTCAACAATCACGCTTGAAATATCGAGGTGATAGAGCTTTTTCAGTGGCAGCTCCAAGACTCTGGAACCATTTTTGGTCCCACTTTATATTGTGGCCTTAACTAATATGTACTTACACAGGAATAAATAGTTTGTTACAATGTACTTATTGTGTAAATACGTGTATTTACTGTGTACTTATGCTTGATTAAATACATGTATGTAATTACATCTGTAATTAACTTTTGTAATTACAAAAGTTACACTTTAACCCACCCTTAAACCTTCCCGTACCACCAAACCTGTCCATAACCCAACCTCTAGCCCAACTCAAAAGCACCACAAGTGTTCTCAAATACATTTTAAACACAGTAAGTACATTGTATTTATTTTTTTAATGTAAGTACATAGTAGTTAAGGACACCTAATATAAAGTGGGACCCAATTTTCCACTCTCCTTAACAACAGCTCCAACTTTTGAGTCTTTTCAGAGATCACTGAAAACACACTCATTTTCTTTAGCTTTTAATTATGTGTTTTGAGTTTATGTATTTTGGTGTTGTGTATGTTTGCATGTGTTTCATGTGTTTTTATGTACAGCACTTTGGTACCCATTGTGGTTTGTTGTAAGTGCTCAAAAATAAATTGAGTTGAGTTCGGTTGAGTTGAGATCATAGTGATGTTTTAACTGACTGAATTGATTCTGAATCTTGCACCTAACAAATATCCTAATTTACAAAAACAAAAAACAGCAAGCAAAAATCTAAAACTAATACTGAAAACAATAATAACTAAACTAAAACTAAGCAATTTCAAATTATAGAAACTAGTAAAACTAGTAAATCTCCCTCTAAAAAACTGATTGAATTTGAAAACAAAAAGTCAAAACAAAAGTAAAACCAATGAAAAATCCCAAACTATTAAATCCTTGATATTGTATATAAGTGTATAGTGAGCCATTTGGAATGCAGCTTACAAGTAAAAAAAAAAAAAAAAAAGAGCCCTTTTGCAGCGTTTCCACTGCTTAGACTGTGAAGTAAAAATAAATCCTTGTTAAAGTTCAACTATTGTGCCATGAATAGTCTTTTTGTTTTCAGGTAAATCAGCTGGCGTCACATGAGGCTTTACCACATGAACTAAACAGGACTTATTAGGAGTTTTTAAGGCTTAATTTGACAGCTTTCTCTAATGTGAAGCAATTCGGTTAATAGTCAATATAGTTCTAGTCAAAGAAACAAACAAAGTAGCTAAAATCGGAAAGGTTAAACATAGATTTGGGTCATTTTAAAGTCGTGCTAACAACAAAGGGATCATAAGACAAATGAATCATATAAGGATTTTCATGCTGACATTAAAGCAAAAATAGCATAACCACATTTTATTGTGTATGTGGAGGCGTGAAGCCAATATTCAAATATGTGAGGGTGACAGGCGCTGTGTAAGATATTCAACTTTCGTTCTGTCAGACAAGCTTTCTTCGAGGTTAGTTTAACTAGTATTCACCGTTTCTATATATTGAGTGTAAGAAAGGTTGAAAAAAAGAGTCGAGGGGCCTGATTCTGAGCATGTTCAGTTTCATCAGCCCTCACTTGAATAATTATATTTGTTTTGGCAAACCATGGCTGGTAAATGACACACAAGGATAAACAACACTATATATTTATGATATATATTCAGGTTGTTATCATTGTTATGCACTGTTAAAAAAAAATATGGGTTTCTACACAATTCATTAATGTTGTCCCAACACAAATCGATTAAGCCATAGCCATCAAACTCAATTCCTGGAGGGTCACAACTCTGCAGCTTTGCTCCAACCCTAATCAAACACAGCTGATCCAACTAATCAAGGTCTTCAAGACTACTAGAGACTATTAAGCAGGTGTGAGTTGGAGGTGGTTGAGGCTAAACTATGCAGAGCTGCAGCCCTCCAGGAATTGAGTGTGAGACCATTGGATTAAGCTAACAAATTTAAGTGGACTGAACATATTAAGCTGTCCGGTAACACTTTCTTTTGATGGTCCATTTGAGTATTAGTAGACTGTCTGCTTAATATCTGTTGATACTGCTTCTTCTTCAGATATTTAACTGACTATAAGAAATTGTGCAAGTACATGTCAACTTACACTAAATAGCACCCTAACAGTCTACTTATAATCTAATGAGAATTAGTTGGCATGTAGATGCAGTGTAACTCAAATCCAACAAATGGACCATCAAAATAAAGCGTGACCAGTCGTCCCCCAAAAATCTCAAGAATTGTGTTGTTTCAGTTCATTTTACAAAAGTAGTTTAACAAAGCAGCAAAAATGTTTATTATGGAGTGTGATTAGTGCTCTCTTCAGTGAGATTTCTTCCATTTCACCGCATAAAAACAGCTTGTTTTAGTTTATCGCATAGAAAATTCTGTTTAGCTTCTTCAGTTGGCTGAACAGATTGATCACAAGTTAGACAAACTAAGAAAGTAAGTACACTGTTCTGTAATACACTGTAAAAAAAAAAAAAATAGGGCTTCACACAATTCCTTTATGTTCTTCCAACACAAATCGATTAGGTTAACTGAATTGTTTTTGCTTATTTAAGTGGATGGAACATAAAGCAATTAAGTTGTCCAAATAAAAAAACAACTTAGTGTTGGATCAACTCATAATCGATAGTTAGCAGCAAAAGTAATTGTGTATCTATGTTCACCTTTAAAGTGGATTGAACATGGATCTTTAAAAAGTTGACAGATTTTGAGTTTGTAGAGCTTATTTAGTTGTGTTTGCACTGCAAAAATACTTTTCTCACTTAGAGTTTTCGTTTTGTTTCTAGTCCAAATAACTAAAAAAAAATCAACACAGGCTCATTGTGAATATGTACCCCTGTGTACATTTCTGGAGGTTGCAAATTATGTAGCCAGAGGGACGAATGGCTGTACAGTATTTTGTCTTTCAAACAAACACTAGGGCGGTAGGATGCCAGACAGGCTTAATCTAAGAAATTCAACTAAAAACAAACAGGAAGTGCATTTTCATATTTCAATATTAAGATTACAAGAGCAAACAAGTGTTTTCTTCTTAATGACATGCACAGATGAATTGTTCACCACAAAACTAGCCATGTGAGCTAACAAAAACAACACTGTTAGTTTTGATTTCATGTGTACTTTTGATCTAATATGTGATAGGGTTATGTTTTCTTGGGTAATATACGTTTTTGTATTTTACAAAGTATCAAGTGAAAGCACTTTCTGCAGTTGGAAACAATATATAATGATTTTATCATAATAATTGGATCATTTTTATGAGCACATAATGTTTTATTCTATGTAGTAACAACATGTGTTTATAAAAATGATTAAATGATCATATAAAACGTTCTACAGAGAAACAATAACTTTTATTTGCACATATTGTAACTGCATAGACTGTTTTATTTATTACAATGAAATCAATGATAAAGATTGTAACCATTTGGGGTTAGCGTTCACAGTAAAATGATTCACACATCTCCTAACTGCATATGACGCAATGCTGCGATACAAGGTATCATCATGTTAAAAGGAGTTTTTGTGCTAGCTACCTGCAACAGTAACAAACATATTGTATGTCTATTTTAGGAATATATCTTATCACATCAGATTCGTGTCGTTGTTAGGACACTGATAGTGTTGTTCTTTAATGTAAAGTCGTTATATTTTACAGTTTTAAGGTTTACCATTAAGGCTTTATAGATGTGTCAAAGTCATTATGATTATGCTAATTATGCTAATGCTACATTATGCATTATTCAATACACAATAACTGTTCATATCCCTGCTGAAAAATCCAGCTTAAACCAGCCTAGGCTGGTTGGCTGGTTTTAGCTGGTCGATCAGCCTAGTTTTAGAGGGGTTTTGGCCACTTCCAGGCTGGTTTCCAGCCATTTTCAGCCTGGTCTTAGTTGGTCAGGCTGGGAGATAACCAGTTAAAACCAGCTTGACCAGCCTGGCCAAGCTGGGAGTCCAGCCAAAACCAGCTATGTCCAGCTTAAACCAGGCTGGTCAAGCTGGCTTTACCTGGATTTGGCTGGTCATTTTCCAGCCTGACCAGCTAAGACCAGGCTGGAAATGGCTGGAAACCAGCCTGGAAATGGCCAAAACCCCTCTAAAACCAGGCTGGTCAACCAGCTAAAACCAGCCAACCAGCCTAGGCTGGTTTAAGCTGGATTTTTCAGCAGGGTGACCATGCAGTGATTTAGTTTTTGATTGTGTAACCTGAGTAACTTTTTTGCGTGTGTTAACCGGAGTATATCAGCTAGATGTCAACTGACTGGACAACTTTTCAGAGTGTGCTAATGTTTAAAAAAGCAGACCTGTAAAATCAAATCACTGTAGATCTACAATTTTTGTCAACTTCTATGTAGTAAGGCAAAGTGTTATTTAATCTGAGAGGACTTGACTTGTATTGTTGTTAGAAAATCATAGATCTATCCATAAATATAAGCATGGAGGATCCATATGCAATATTCAGTGGCTGATTGTTAATTTTCTACGTTTTGTGCTGCTTTCATTTCTAAGCTTGTGATTTTTCGGCAGCAGCTGAATCCTGGCGAGAACCACGAAAGACTTCGAAGAGTTGACTCAAACCGAAAGTCTCGAAGTTTCAGCAAGCAGCCCAGCACTGGGGACTACTATAAAACCCTGGGTAGCGATACCACGGACCAGCAGCCCAGCAGAGCCATGGCACCTAATGAGGAGGTAAAACAATGACTACTTCATATGTTTAACACTCCACTAACAAGTATGGACATATCAGTATTAAACAATCCAGGCTCACTGCGAATATGGACAGCAAAATACACAACCTTAGGTACGTCTGCTCGCAGTTTTTGTTTTTGCGAATCTACCAGAGGCTACTGTGTACGCTTTCTGATGATCACAAATTCCTCTCGCACGTCCTCTTCTCACGTAAATCCTCCAGAGGGCGCAATATACACTTCAGCCGACCAGGCCAGCTTGTTGTACAACCACCCCACCCTACCACCTTCGCTAAACCCAACCGATAGTGTTTTCAAAAGGTATCTAAAGAAGAAAGATATCATGGCTTCGTGATTTCACCATGTTTTCAGCCTGTTATTTTTAGTCATTTATTTTTGCTTTTGTTTTACCTGGTTTCTGGAAACATTCTTCACCAGACTCGAACCCAATTGACACGGTCAATTCCGCCCCACATCCCAAGTCCGCCAGCGTACATGGCTAGCCACTGGGTGAACTGGTAACACTGGAAAAGCCATCTGTATGGAGGTAAACAGTCAGGTGGTAGCACTAAAACGAACAGAAGCCGCCCTGTTGCATTTGTTTTACAGACTGACTATATAATTTGTGATCTCCAGAAATGTAGACAGGGATTCGTATCCACAATGAGCCTGTGTTGGTAGTAAAAAATACAGTACAGTTCTCTTAAAAATGAAAATTCTGTCATCATTTACTAATCGGCTTCCTGTCTTGAACACATTATGTTTCTTGATTGGGAAAAAAAACAGCTATTGACCTCTATAGTTTTTTTTTTTGTTTGTTTCTACAATTGATGTCATTGCATGCTTTTTCCCAACATTCTTCAAAATATCTTTTTTTGGTAGCACTTTAGTTTAAGTAACAGTTCACACCATTTAGTACTGGCTTATTACCTGCCTATTATTAAGATATGAACTGTTTTTTAGCACGTATATAAAGTATGATCTTATTTTGCATCCCCAATTATGGGTACATCATGATACATCATTACAAAATGGCTGCTCCCTCAAAAAGTAAACTATTTAAGGGTATAAAGGGTGGTTTTTGAATAAAGCCCACGTAAAAGTGTAAGTATGTGAGCACTTATTATTGACTGCTTTGTTTTGTTTGTAACAAGGGCTGTTTAACTATTTATTATCTATAGTCTACAAAAATGCTCACCTAATACCACAACCAATATGGTTGCCAAAACAGTAGTCAACAGTAGTTTCCAAAATACTCAACTCCCTTCGCTCTGGATCACGCTGGATTCTCTGTCACACCTGTCACATTACAACACAAATCCATGCAAGGTGTGGCGTCCCAGAGCTAGGATTGCAGTTCAACATTTATTGTACACATATTGAGCCACTGGGTAAACAGCGCTGAGTGTTTTCTTTGTTTTGCTATGCGAGCTTGACAACCGGATCCTGGAAGTATTATGTTTTGCCTGTGAGCTTTCCAATTACTCAACACTGATTTGTTTCCTATAAATGAAGAATGACTTACATAAAAGTATTTTTATTTACAATATAAATAAGGGTATTTAATTTGTTATTGAAAATTTTTAAATGGAACTTGTGCAGTTATTTGTTCTTCCATTCATTAAAAATCAATATTTTAGGCCTTAAAGTGTGTTAAATTCGCTGTTCTAGGTCTTAAATATTTTTGCACAGGTCTTTTTTTCCCGATGTCCATGTAACGCTACATTTAATGCTCATTTAAAATCTTTTTTGTTGTTGTTGCTCGGTTTTTGTGGTGCTGTAGTTCTTTATTTCACTAGTCCTAGTGTAATTTGCAGTGTTACAACTACAAATGTGACCAACATGCAATAGCCAATCAGCTTTCTGTTATTTAATGTGACGTCATCGCTGTGTTTGCGGAGGATTGCTTTCGGTGCACACGACATGATTTCGACTGGCAGCTTTAACAGATTTCAGGTGAATAGTTCGAAAGGCAAAAGTATGAATCAGCCTTAAGATGTCTGGTGTTTTTTTTTTCTGTAATTCAATTGTACATCTAACCTGTCTTTAGTACTGTTCAATTTAATAATTTTATTTTACCAAAATTTTGTGATTTTGCATTTTCTCTTGCGTGTTTTTAATATTGCGATATAGGTCTTAAATTTAATACTTAATGGTCTTAAAAAGGTCTTAAAAAGTCTTAAATTTGACAATATGATATTTGCAGAAACCCTGTAAAAACATGTTTGATTTTCATTCTTACAGAACAAAAAACAAGTTACCTAGCAAACTTTCCATGCTGTTTATATTTTCAATATTTAGAAATGATGGAGACCATGGTTCTAGTTCTTGTCCATTTTTTTAAAAGAGCAACTTAAACATTCTGCTAAACCTCTCTATTTTATGTAGTAAATACAGTCATACAAGGCTGAATTTCCTATAAGCATTTTCAGCTTGAAGTAAATCATAATGGCTGCTAAAACTAGGCACAATAGCCTAGTGGTTAAAGGGATAGTTTACCCCAAAATAAAGAAAACGACTCACAATTTCATTAAGTGGTTCAAAACCTTTAAAACGTTTATGCTTCTGTTGAACACAAAAGAAGATGAAGAAAGATGAAAATGTGTAACCATTGAGTTACTAGTGAACTATTCCTTTAAGTACAACGCCAAATCAGAAAAAGATGCGAAAACGCTAATAAAAAAAAAAGAATGGAGTGATTTCCAAATTTACTTTGACTTATAATTCAATGAAGACAATACAACAAGCATTATTTCTAGATATGTTCTTTTATATACGTGTACATATTCTGTTTAATACAAAAGGAGATGTTTTGAAGAAAGGTGAAAACCTGTAACCATTGACTATCATGGTAGAAAAACAAATATTGTGGAAGTCAATGGTTACAAGATTCTTATCTTTCTTCGAAATGCTGTATCTCCTTTTGTGTTTTACAGAACAAAGAAAGTCAAAACGGGTTAAAAACAAGTCAAGGGGTAATAAATGATGACAGAATTTTCAGTTTTGGGTGAACTATTCCTTTAAGCACATCGCCAAATCAGAAAAAAGATGTGACAGTATGGAAAACGCATACAGAAAAAGAAAGAAGTGATTTATAAATTCACTTTTACTTCAATGTAGACAATACAACAAGCATTATACATATATATATATATATATATATACATACATACATATATATATATATATATATATATATATATGTGTGTGTGTGTGTGTGTGTGTGTGTGTGTGTTTGTGTGTGTGTGTGTGTGTGTTCCTAGTATACAGTTGAGGTCAGAATTATTAGCCTCCCCTTTGATATATATATATATTTTTTTTTCTTTTTGTAAATATTTCCCAAATGATGTTTATCAGAGCAAGGAAATTTTCACAGTATGTCTGATAATGTTTTTTTCTTCTGGAGAAAGTCTTATTTGTTTTATTTCAGCTAGAATAAAAGCAGTTTTTAATTCTTTTTAAATCCATTTCAGCTATATTTTAAGCCACCTTTAAATATATTATTTCGATAGTCTAAAGAACAAACCATCATAACACAATAACTTGCCTAATCATCCTAACCTGCCTAGTTAACTTAATTAATCTAGTTAAGCCTTTAAATGTCACTGTAAGCTGTATAGAAGTGTCTTGAAAAATATCTTGTCAAATATTATTTACTGTCATCATGACAAAGATAAAATAAATCAGTTATTAAAAATGAGTTATTAAAACTATTATATTTAGAAATGTGTTGAAAAAATCTCTCTGTTAAACAGAAATTGGAGAAAGATACAAACAGAGGGGCTAATGATTCTGACTTCAACTGTACATACATAATCATTTGAATAACATGTAATAATTCATCTAACGTTTCTTTTGTTTACATTGCACTGAAAGCCACGCACATCTCTCACCACTACAGCGTGAGATCATTTCTCATGGCACCTGAAGGGAGCAAGTGCGTCGATCCGCTCTACAAGCCGTGCGTACATCGCCCCCAATATGCGCATGTCTTCATTGGAAATAATGAACTTGCACACAAAAAAGACGTGATATGTACACGTGCTATATTGCGTATTGGCTTCTGTAAATACTTTAAACTAGCACACAGTTGGCATAAATTTGTTTAGTTGCAGCAGTTTCATTCCGAACAACAGAAACGCGGCGTTGAGACGTCTTTACGGTTATTCATTCATTCATTTATTTTCTTGTCGGCTTAGTCCCTTTATTAATCCCGGGTCACCACAGCGGAATGACCGCCAACTTATCCAGCACGTTTTTAAGCAGCGGATGCCCTTCCAGCCGCAACCCATCTCTAGGAAACATCCACACACACTCATTCACACACACACACTCAAACTACGGACAATATAGGCTACCCAATTCACCTGAGCACCCGGAGGAAACCCACGCGAATGGAGGGAGAACATGCAAACTCCACACAAAAGCATCAACTGAGCCGAGGCTCAAACCAGCGACCTTTTTGCTGTGAGGCGACAGCACTAAGTACTGCGCCACTACATCGCCAGCTTTAAGATTAATTAATCGTAATGAATTAAAGCACGTTTAGTAGTGATATCGGCTATTCATTGCATCCCTATTGACGATATCAGTGCATTGTACAAAAGACCTTTTCTACAAACATTCGGCTTTCTGTGCAGCCTTCAACTGCAGCTCGTGCTGTATTGAACAGATGCACGTCACTTCATAATTATAGCCATTTATGGACTGAACTAAATTTATTTTTGATGTCTTGGTCACACTATTTAGAGGGCCGGAACGAATAGCCTCGGGGGCCAGGTTTGGCCCGCGGGCTAACAATCGAACAGCCCTGGACTAGGCCGTTGTTTTATGCTGTTTTTGTACCAAATCTTAATTACAATCACCTGTTGACATCACCTGTTTTTAATCACATCATTATTTAACCAAGTTACCTGATTACTAGCCCTAAATTGCTCCTGTACCAACTTTTTTTTTTAAGTGTTGCAAGAACCAAAATTGAAATACGTATTTATTTAAAAAAAAATAAAAATTAAAACAATAAAAATGATGAGGAACATATCAAATAATGTTTGTTGTTTTGTCTGCAATGAAATACAAGTCAAAGTCACTTTATAAATCACTACTCTTTTTTTATTAGCATTTTCCATACTGTCCCAACTTTTTCTGATTTGTGGTTGTATTAATAAGCAGTTAATAAGTCGTTTATTAAGCTAAAAGTCTTGGTCAATGTTTTTTTTAATGACATAAATTGTACATAACAATAAATGTGACCAAAAATTCTATTAATTTCGATTAATTCTGATTCATTTTAGCAGAAGCACTTAACACTTACATTACTGAAAACTCCATGTTCATTTCTATGTCAACAATTGTGTCATTAGCATCCATTTAATTGACACTAAAGTATTTTACGAACACATTTGAGAACACATGTCGATATTCACTTCTCTGCGAATGAATTCTCCAGTTTCCGTTGGCGAGAACTTGCATAATGTGAGCTAGCGGGAACATAATTAGCAAGATATCAGCATTAGAAGTGGCCCCTTTCTACTATCCGATCTAATCTTCATTGAGCCAATTAGATGCCCAGTGGGGCGTCTGGCCACTTGATGGAACCAGATGGTACTCCACATGTCCCTCTGGGTAATGACCCATTATCGCGGACATGCATGGGACATGAAATGCACCATATGCTGGAGATAGTGATGATGAGGAGGCGGAGAGGGGGGATAACAGGCACGCGTGCGGCACGAGTCCAGGAGGAGGGGGTGTATAGGGTGAAAGGTCAGGGCTTGTTTACTTGGCATCAGTGGTAAGAGGCGGGTGGTCCCTAGAGATGCTAATTGTGAAGGATTGCGGCTCTTAGCTTAGCAGATGTTCTGTCATTCCAGCAAACCACTGAGTTAGAGCTAATTGTGTATTCATTACAAGCTGCAGTGCATATGGTGTGGCCCACTGGGAGGTGTATTGGTCAGATTATGCCATTTTGGGAAGTATATTAATCATGTTGTTCAGTCTGTGAACATTTAAGTATTCAGAATTGATGGAATTTTAAAAATGGTAATCATACAATGACAGAACTTTCATTAAATGCTTGAAAAAGCTGCTATAGAAGGCATCGCAAAAAAGTGCTACTGTGTGGTATATGGTCAAATTGTTTCTACATGTAGACATTTTAAAATAAATTGTTAAGCATGGATACATTTTGATTTATGACAAGTGCTGCACACTTCTTTCTGTGCCTCAGTGCGCTCTGTCAGATTTGAAATTTAGTTGTTGAATTTTAGCAGTGTGATTACGCTTCAGGGATCTGCCAAGGCTGATCACACCGGTGTGATTGTACAGTTGAAGTCAGAATTATTAGCCCCCCTGACTTATTAGCAACCCTGTTTGTTTTTTCCCCAATTTATGTTTAATGGAGGCAATATTGTTTCAGCTCATTTCTAAGCATAATAGTTTAATAACTTATTTCTAATAACTGATTTATTTTATCTTTGTGATGATGACAGTAAATAATATTTGACTAGAAATTTTTCTATTTTTCTAAACACTTCTATACAGCTTAAAGTGACATTTAAAGGCTTAACTAAGTTAAAAATTTGCAAGAAAAAAATTAGCTTAAAGGGGCTAATAATTTTGTCCCAAAAAAAAAATTTTTTTTAATAAAAAACTGCTTTTATTCTAGCCGAAATAAAAAAATAAGACTTTCTCCAGAAGAAAAATTTTTATCAGACATACTGTGAAAATTTCCTTGCTCTGTTAAAAAAATTTTGAGAAATATTTAAAAAATAAATAAATAAATAAAAAGGGAGCTAATAATTCTGACTTCAACTGTACATGTGTGTGATATAAGGTAAAATGTTTTCTAGAAAGAGATATTGAAATGCAACCTAGAAATTGATTTGAAATGCCAGAGGAACACATTGGCTGAACATATTGAAGTCACACGATTTTTAATTTGCTTCAAGAATTAAAAGATACTTGGAACAAACAACTAGGGTGAGTCATGTAATACCGGGTCTACTGAATTTCTTTCAACCCCTCATTTTTTTTTGTCTTTCTAAATGTAAAAATGGGAATCATACAATGACAAAGCATTAATAACACTTTCACACGTGAGTTTTAAATACTTTATAAACAGTTGTTTTTGTGACCACTATTAAGAATCCTCTTTCTGTAAATATTGACAAAATGTTCTGATCATATTGTGAAATTTTTAATACACTGATTCTCAAATATGTGAAAGAACATATATATTTTTTCAACAGCTAACCCTAACCCTGATAATGATTGTATTATCTGTTATATAACGGGTAATGGCCGCCGCCATTGTTGCTAGAAGGGATAAAGCTGCAATCGGAAGTTAATGAGAAGTATTTTATTATTTATTAAATTACGCAACATTTTAATTTATTAACGTCTACCCCTACCTCAACCCTCCAACCAATGCCAAAGGGTTTACCTACTTTTTCTGTCAACTGTATATGCAGTGTTCCACATTAACCTGCTTTCTCTGCAGGGTTCTGCACTGTTGGAGGAGGCGGCAGACACAGCACCTGCCCCAGAGAATGGAACGGGAACCACAGAAGATCTACCGCTTCCTCCACCTCCACCTCCTCCACCTGCAAGCACCTTTATCCCGGCTCCACCTCCTCCTCCACCTCTTCCATCAGAGCTGCCCCCTCCTCCCCCACCCTCCACCACCACACCGGCCGCTGCCCAACGGCGCATGTCTTCATCCTCCAACAGTGAGTACTGACACCATCACATGCAAAACTCCCCGCGTAACTCTCTCTTTTACCCTCATATATTTCCCTGGGAAGTGAATAAGGGTGTAAAGCATGTCAAGGGGTTATACATTACATATTTTTAGTACCAGAATGCTGTCAATACGAAAGCCTTTTCTTTCTTCTTTTCTTCAAAAAGAAGCCTTCTGTTATGGTTACGCTCTTGCTATTTTCAATGCCTTTCAGTTGCTTTGAAGTAGTCTGAAATGGAAGTTGATTGGATACCCAATTGATCTATCTATTTGCAAATACTTGTCAAAATAGGAGAACATTTGGGGGAAAGACTTGATTTTGTCCATTGGAAATTGATTGGATCATTATTGTTTGCTATTGTTGGACCTTGTACGAGTGAGAATTAGTTTGAAGAGGTCAACAGAGAAGATTTGTTTTTGCAAAGGGAGGAAAAGCAATTTTAATTAAGGAATACAAAGGCCAAAGATAGTTGTGGGCACAGACTATTCATTAAAACTGCTGTACTTGATGAAATAATTGACCCTTTGCTAAGCCACACCCAAAAACCGCCACTTACCAATCGTGGCTTAGCAACCGTAGCTACGCGCAGGAGCTCTGTCAAGCTTTCCAGTGAGGGAAACAGGCCAAAGCGCCGTGCATATGGATTATGCAAATCTGATACCCGGTATCCTAAAAGTTTGGACGGGATGGTGGAATTTTTTTCCCTTTTCAAAACCAAAACCCCAAGAGGAGAAATGCCAATGTGGATCAAGCTGTGTGAGGGGCGCTATAGGAGCGGAGTTAAGTTGGTTTTGTTTTGATATTCCTGACACATTCAGTGATAGACGGCAATAACTCACACACCTCTTACCTTAAACAGATCTAAACAGTGTTTCCTACAAAAATACAAAGCAGGTTATGTTTCACAGTTGTCTTTTTTTCCCCCAGCTTGATTATGAGCACTGCTCCGTTTAAGCCCTCGCAATAGTAACTTAGTCATACTAATAGCGAATAGGTCATGAGTTACTGATCTGGTAAATATGAATCTGCGAATCTGTTGCTAACTTTACTAAAGTTCATATCTTCATCTGTTTCAAGCTATGAATATTTGAAATTACAAATCAACAGAACAAAACCGAGATATGATCACAAACTAAGCACTTGCGATCAATATACTTTACCCGCAGCTGTTTTTCAGTCATTTATAAAGAGCACACAAACACACTGACAGTGATAAGTAACTTACTGTACATTGTTATGGGTCAATGATGCTAATATTCGGCACAAATTTCGCCTTTCTGCCTATTCTTTCTATGAATGAATGATGTAGAAGCACTGTCCATGCGTGTTTCCCTTGTCGGTTAGTAACGCTATATTTTATTGCACAACAATCAATCTATCAGGCTTTTCAGCTAAACATAGACAAATCACGGTTTAATTTGTTATTATTAGATTGTTTTTAGATTTCACCTGTCCTGCTGAGCATGAGCTGTTGAATGTTTAGCGTATGAGGCGACTAGGCTAAGCTAGCTTCAATTTTGATTGAATTGTTCTCTAATCAGTTGCCTTTTATGTCGTGAATATACCCCCGTAATGCATACAGCAGTCCTTTTTTGTCTTGCTTTCTCAGATATCTTACCTGTTCGCCAAAAACGACTAATTATAAGCCTGGGAATGTTTGACACTGGCACATACACATTAGAAAAGCCAGGCACGAAAGCTTGACAGGCTTAGCAACAGTAACTAAGGAGGGCGGGGCTTAGCGAAGGGTCAATCGTCCGTTTTGATCATTTATGGTGATATCAAGGTGAATCTAAAGGGGTGGTCCACCCAAAAATGAAAGTGTGATGACTTTTTCACTCACCCTCAAGTGGTTCCAAATATTTATGAGTTTCTTTCTTCTGTTGAACAGTTAAAAATATATTTTGAAGAAAGAATCTGTAACCATTGATTTCTCCGGAATATCTTTTGTGTTCAACAGAAGAAAGAAAGAAAGAAAGAAAGAAAGAAAGAAAGAAAGAAAGAAAGAAAGAAAGAAAGAAAGAAAGAAAGAAACAAAGAAAGAAAGAAACAAAGAAAGAAAGAAAAAGATTGATCAATGGATGGATGGATGAATGAATGAATAGACGGATTGAACAATGATGGATAAAGAAGGAAGGAAGGAAGGATGGATGGATGGATGGATGGATGAATGGATAGACAGATTGAACAATGATGGATAAAGAAAGAAAGAAAGAAAGAAAGAAAGAAAGAAAGAAAGAAAGAAAGAAAGAAAGAAAGAAAGAAAGAGATTGGGACAGGTCGAGATAGAGAAAATGATGACAGAATTTTCATATTTTTGAAGAAGCATCCCTAGAAGCTGGTACACTACAATTATTATTTTTTTTTTACATTTATTATAGCTGAGTAAGAATACTTGCTATTTAATAGGACGTGAAAATGATTTTAGTTCTAGGAACCATTTTGAAGTATTAACTAAATTAGATTCTACTTTTGTGCATTGACTTTTTTACTGTACAAATAAGAAATACTAATATTTCTATAAAAGTCTTTACAATTAAGTGGTTTTATTGGTTACAAAAACCATAAACAGTGAGGGTCCTAAATATTTATGACCATAAGAAAACAGGTAACAACTGATGTGCATCTGTTAAAGTTGGAGATGCCCTGAGAAAGTAGACAAAATGTTCGTATGGATGCTCTGAAAAGAAAGCCACACCCTCTAGTAAAGGAGCGAATGATTCTCTGGGGGAGGGGCTCGATGTTCAGTTAAAGTCAGAATTATTTGCCCCGCTGTTTATTTTTTTCCCCAATTTCTATTTAACGGAGAGAAGATTTTTTCAACACATTTCTAAACATAATAGTTTTAATAACTTATTTTTAATAACTGATTTATTTTATCTGTGCCATGATGACAGTATATTTGACTAGATATATTTCAAGACATTTCTGTACAGCTTAAAGTGACATTTAAAGGCCTAACTAGGTTAATTAGGTTAAGTAGGCAGGTTAGGGTAATTAGGCAAGTTATTGTATAACAATGGTTTGTTCTGTAGTGTCCAATGTTCAGATGGATCCAAGTGCAAGTGATAGAATATTTATTGACACAGTCAAGATAAATGTAACAGAGAGTGTGGTGCTAGGACTAGGAGAAACCAGAGCAGGGATCAGACGGGAAAACAGGGTCCAGTGGTAACTCCGGACGGTCCTGAGCACAGACAAATGAACACATAAGCACACGTAACGAACTGACAAGGAAACACAGAAACCGTCGCACATATATAGGCGCGATAATGAGCCTCAGCTGGCGAACTAATCAAACCAACTGAGTGCCTTCATAACACGTGACCAAAGCAAATACACGTGGGCAACAAAAACAAAACAAACTCACATGATCAAACACACACTCTGGAAGAGTGCACAAACCTGCAACCGTGACATGTAGACTATCGGAAATAAAGCTTAAAGGGGCTAATTATTTTGTCCTTAAAATGGTGTTTAAAAAATTTAAAACTGCTTTTATTCTAGCCAAAATAAAACAAATAAGAAAAAACATTATCGGACATACTGTGAAAATTTCCCTATTCTGTTAAACATCATTTAGGAAATATTTAATAAAGAAAAAAATCTCAAAGAGGGGCTAATAATTCGGACTTCAACTGTATGTTCTTAAGTGATGGTGCAAATGCATCCTTAAAAATGATTCAGGGAAAATAAGTTCTCAAGAATTCGGGCCTGGTGGCTAATTACTATAACTGACTTCCTATAACTAACATGTATGAAAGTCCCTAAACGCAATGTCTGCCAGCCTAGATCCTGCTGTAAATTCTGTAACCTCTTTGATTCCACTCAAACCACATACAGTGGCTTGTGACATCAGTCTCTGCAGCATTGAGCTTCAGTTGAAAGCCGGAGGCGATTGTAGAATCTGTTGGGACCTCATGTGAAATTCCACAGGGGGCCCTCCATCCAGTATGCATCACCTTTATTTAACAAATAATAATACGCTAACAAAATAATATGGAAAATAGGCATTTTAAATTTCAATCTACTGTTGAAGTCAGAATTATTAGTTCCCATTTTTTTTCCCAAGTGGTGTTTAACAGAGCAAGGAAATTTTCACAGTATGTCTGATAATATTTTTCTTCTTGAGAAAGTCTGATTTGTTTTATTTTGGCTAGAATAAAAGCAGTTTTAAATTTTTTAAACACCATTTTAAGGTCAATATTATTAGCCCCTTTAAGCTATATATATATATATATTTTTTTTTCCACAGAACAAACCATTATTATACAATAACTTGCCTAATTACCCTAACCTGCCTAGTTCACCTTATTAACCTAGTTAAGCCTTTAAATGTCACTTAAGCTGTCAATTAAGCTTTATAGAAGTGTCTTGAAAAATATCTAGTCAAATATTATTTACTGTCTTCATGGCATAGATAAAATAAATCAGTTATTAGAAATGAGTTATTAAAACTATTATGTTTAGAAATGTGTTGACAAAATCTTCTCTCTGTTAAACAGAAATTGGGGAAAAAAATAAACTCGGGGGCTAATAATTCTGACTTCAACTGTATATATTAACTATTATTAGATTGAATTTACAGAAATGGTACTATATCTTGATATTAAATGATTTATATTTAAATATAAGATCCAGGCCTACTCTCATACCGGTCATGGCATCAATTCTACCCCAAATGTGATGGCCCCCCCAAACCCCCAAATCAAATCATCATCCTGATTCTTATTAAAAACACCAAGCAGAACTACTTGTTTATTTACGCACTCCTATTTTTAATTTCCATGTCTTTATGCTGAATTTAGACTACTGCCCTCTGCTGGTAACAGTAACTCTATATCTTGCATGTGCAGATCATATGTGGTAGCCAGCCACTGACTTTCAAATGAACAGCTATGTGCAGTAGCAGACCACTTAAAACCTATTTAACTTTAGGGGATAGTTAGTCATAAGAGGCCACAAGAGTGACAGCAGCCATTAACAAT